TTAAATAATAAAGTGTAATTTTCTAAAATGCGTGACGATCTAAATGTTGCAAAAGTATAAAAGAGTCAGTGTATTGTAAACTAAAAGAGGCGCTTAACGTTTTGCACGTATTTGCAATAATTATTACAGTTTCTGATGATAAAAACTTAGGTAGTTATCGTGGGAGGGCAACACCGTGCAGCGAGTGTGCCGGCGCAGTTCCCCATCGCCGGCGCACCCGCTGTTGCCTCCCTAAGTTGGGTTTCCTTGGTTTCGATCGCAGCAGTTCAGTTCAGTTAACTCGTCGTCTTCGCACTGACGAGACCGTGAGTCATGGGATGGGTCATTTCAAAGTGAGCTCGTTCACGTTCCCCAAAAAAGCTGTCAGATGTGATATCAATTTTTGTACGTGCAAGTCGTTCGCACAAATAAATGTATATTTTGTATAGACATCTGTCGGCAACCACGAGCCTCACGGAGCGGCCCGTCCCGCGACCTCGAGGTGCTTTATTTGGTTATCATATCCGGAATTTAAAGTTGTGTTGGTTTAACCAAACGTTTTATCTACTATTAGGCATATTGGCACAAAAAAGTTGTGTTTAATTAAGTTTAGACAATAAGTTACAATATCATTGTATTGTTTATTTGAATATACTTATGACAAAAAGTGAGTTCAGTTTGCTGAATGATAGAGGTTTAATTGAATATTTATTATATATATTGTTGAAGTTTGTACAAAATAAATTAAGTAAATGATAAATTATAGAACTTGACTGCTTTACTTTGTTGTTTTATTTAAAATAATCTCGTCGAATATTTACTATATACTATAATATATAGTAAATATTCGACGATATATATGACTATAGACTATAATATAGTGCATATAAAATGTTAGTAAGGGTTCTTTCGACATTAAAGTTATCTTTATGAATAAAAGTATTTTTTATGATTACTTGAAAAAAGCATTTACCAGATTCAATTGGCAAATATTCTAAGAATTTTCTGTCCACGACACAATTTTATTAGACTATGGCATCTGTACTTTAAATTCAATACTGTTCAATACCTTAATACATAAATTAAGCAGTATCATATTAAACACTGACCGATACATAAACTTTTGCAACTGTTTTAATCTCGTTATCTCGGAGAATTTTACATTAAAATAACTACCAACTTCAATAATAACTATTACAAAGGTTTGCAACACTGTAAGTGTCAATGTCAAACGACGTTTGATGGTGACGCTTTTTATCTGTTGTCAAAGCCAATTGTCAAAATTTCATATCAAGTTTGCTTCCGCATTAAATGATTCAATGGTGTCTTAAATTTATCCTAGACTCTCTGTAAAGTGGAATAAATATCACAATTATCAAAAATTACAACAAAATAAAGTAATCTTCGTGACTCCAAAATGAACGTGCTACCAGCTCAGCCAATCGGCATACAAAGTACAGCAGGAGCTGTACCAATTCGTAATGAAAAAGGTTGGTAAACACCAAAACAATTCCTACATTCACAAAATACAAAACTATGAAGAAAACTTCAAATTGTTAGAAACGTTTATTTCATCTTAAACAACAAATAATTTCCGTTGTATGTTAGTATGGGTCAAAATTTCAAAAGTCTTCGCTATTATACTTGCGTTTTTGTTTAAAGTCTTAATCACATTTGAAGATAGGTAATTTTAATAAATTCTATCCCTTATTAAGGTAATAAAAATAGAAGAATAATGACAGGTTATATTTGAGCTAAGTTAAATCACATATATTAAGACTATATTGACATATTATTGCAGGTGAATTGTCTATGCAAAAAGTGAAGGTACAGAGGTACATATCGGGAAAAAAACCTGATTATGCTCAAGGTGTTAGTTCTTCCGAGGAATCAGATGTAGAAGATTTTATAGAGCAACAGAAACCAGAACGTAGAGTGCAGATAGCATCACAAATTGGTACTAAACTTGAGGAACACAGTGATTCAGAGAAGGAAGTAAGTCTTTTATACCTTACAAATATTTCATTGTGAAAATTTAGATGTATGGAAGAATATTTGATGAAAGGTATCTTTAGAATGGGTCAATGGATCTCAATGACAATTTGGCACAGATGTAGAACAGTATTAAAACACAGGGGCTAGAAATTAAGTTTTTTTTTAAATCCTATGTGAAGGGATTCACAGGTGACAGCATTATTACAGTGTTACAATGAGAATGAATGTGTAGATGTAAGAAGGCTGAGCCAGGGTCGCAATAAACATTACTTGCCCAGTTGTGTCACATTTAAACTATTAATCAAGTATAGGATGGTTACAATTTTTTTCATATAATACACATAAATTTTAATTGTGATAGTAAGAATTTGATTATTTAGTCTTCCTTCGTACTAATTTTTAGAAATAGATGGATAATGATTGAATGGATTTCAAAAAAATATGGCATAGAAGCTGAGGGTAGTTTCAAAGAAGAAAAATATTACTTTTGATCCCGGAAGTTATGGTTCCCCTTGGGATACAATAATTTCGTGCCTAAAATTTAGTGCAACATAAAAGAAAATCTGGCGTAATACCTGGGAAATGGTACATCCTCGAAAACCACGGGTTCCCAAGGGATACATAGTTTTTTTTTATACTATGCTGATAAGGTTGCAGACAAAAGCTAGTATCTAAATAAAATTACTATTATATTGGTATTACATGGTGAACTTATGTGGTCTGTTTAGGTTGATGATCCTCGTCTGCGAAGACTTCGAAGGGTGGCGAGGTCTCCCCCGCGTCGTGAAGAGCACAAGCCAGAAATTATTGATGCTGAACCAGAGCCTGAGTCAGAATCGAGCGCAGAAGAGGAACGTAACACTTCAGAAAGTGACGATGATTTAGATGAGGAGGAAATAGAGAAACGACGACAAGCTTTAAAAGCTAAATTAGCTGCAAGGTATTTCTTACATTTCAATATGTTTAATAGTATTTGAGATGCATGTGTTCTAGAGTTTTCCCATACTTTTTATGTGCCAATTCCCTAATTATCTATGCAGATATTATAATGAGGAAAGATTTTGATTTGTCAATTTTTGTATATATCGAAATAACTCAATAACTACTGCACCAATTTCAATAATTCTTTCACCATTAAAAATCTACTTTGTCAGTGACAACATAGGCTATATTTTTACTTTTTTTACTTACAGCCTTTTTTGTTAAATTAAGTACCAATATCATTGTTTTTAAATAGCCTGTAGTGAAAGACTATCAAATTGCACTGTGAGGTGTAGGCTCATTGGGAAACTGCTCTAGAGTCTATTAATAATTACAGGGAAGCGGAAAAGGAGGTTCTTGGTAGAGATGATGATGAGGAAATGCTAGGTGGTGAGAAGGAAGAAAGCGGTTCATCTGACACAGAGTACACTGACAGTGAAGAAGACACAGGTAAATAATCCTCTTTGTGACTTGTAACGATTTTTTTAAATTGTACTTTTACAAGGCTTTACCTTAAATTTAATCACAAATTAAAATTGAGAATTTATCTATGCTAGAATTTAAATTTCTTATGGAAACTACTAATGTTGGTTTGCTATTTAATTCAATTCAAAAAAAAGTTGATACATTTTGGATATTTGTGAAAGTTTCGCTATGGAAATATTAATATAAAAATGACTCTGGGTATAATAGATAAATGTAAAGTTTTTTTTTATATCAAACTTTTTAATATGACTCTGCATTCAGTTTTCACGAGAGTATTTCCTAGGTCCCAGGGTAAAACCAGTTTTCGTAAGAGCATCGGAGAGGATGACTGTGACAGAAAAGGAACGGAAATTGAAACAGCAGAAGAAAGAAGAATCGGATGCAAGAAAGGAAAAAGAGGAAAGGCGAAGAGAGGCTTTGAAGTTGGTGGAGGAAACAATACGATCGGAACAGAGGAATGCACAGGTAATATCTGTTATTTTAAATTATTTAGAGGAAAAAAGAGAACCTTTTTTATTATAAATAGTAGGTACGAGGTGTAAAAAAAAATTAACTAAGGGAACTACTGAAAGAGTATGTTTACTTTCCACATGTGTCCCCTCCTTTACATAATACAAACCTACTCTTCCTATGTATATTTTTTTAAAGAAGTCAACTAAAATTAGGCGTCCGGTGTGCACATTGATATAAAACGCGGAATTTGTTCCACTTTAATCCGTGATATTTGGTTTGGACTGTTTGAAAATTGAAAAGCCGGTTTATTATATATTTTCATTTCTTTAGCTATGATATAAATGTTTTGAAATACACTATATATAGTTTGCTTATAATATTATTCCAGGGTGATCTAAAAGAGGCGAATATAAATGACGTATGTACGGATGATGAGAACGACGAACTGGAGTACGAGGCATGGAAACTTCGCGAAATGAAGAGGATCAAGCGGGATAAGGAAGAAAGAGAGGCGTAAGTAGATTTTTGGCAAAAACACCCATCATCAGGAAATTTCAATAATTTTAATATCGTTGATGTTTAAAAAAAATGTATGTAAATTCATTTTTCTATACAAATCTCTTTTTTATAAATTTCAATTATTCTTGTCTTATCAATGTTAAATTTAAATTGAAACACCATGATTCTACTTTAATTAATGTTATTTTACAAATTTTCATCTTTACATGTTACATTTTTGCATGTAACATTTTATAACGTTACATTTTACAATGTTACATGTTACAATTTTACATTTTATAATGTTACTTTTTACAATGTTACTTGTTACAATTTTACATTTTATAATGTTACATTTTACAATGTTACATGTAACATTAATTGTATGTATAACAGTGTAGAGAAGGAGCTGGTGACGATAGAGCGCATGCGCAACATGACGGAGGAGGAGCGCCGCGTGGAGCAGCGACTCAACCCCAAAGTCGTCACCAACAAGTCTATCAAGGGAAAGTACAAATTCTTACAGAAGTATTATCACAGGTATGTGCAGACTTTAAAGTTAACAATATTTAAGGTTAAAAAAAATAAAAAGAACTGTATTTATTTATTAACTTAGTTCACAGTTTTACATCTACATGTAAATATTAACATAAATAAAAAGGTAGAATTTATTTTTCATGTTCTGTGCTGTCTTAGAGTCTATGACATTTTTAAGTGTTACGTTTTTTCATGAAAACACTATCTTAGAAATTTATGTACTAAATTAAACTTACAATAAAGTTACTTTATTGTTCACTAGCTGTTGCCCGCGACTTTGTCTACGTAATTAAGATAAAAAAGTACTCTATAATATGCCTGACTACCAGCTACCCTTTAATGAAAGGTAGAACGGTAGAAATCGATCAAGCCGTTTTGAAGATTACCCAAAACAAACGCGACATGCGGACAGACAGATAGATAAACAAAATTAAATGCGATTTTCGTTGTCAGCAACGCAAATACATCTTACCGAAATCTGGATTTTTTGATATTACAGACACTCCAATTTTATTATATGTAATGTTGCTAATTGTTTTATTGTGTTTACGTTACACATATGAATGTTACAGAGGTGCGTTCTACTTGGACAAAGAGGACGAGGTTTACAAACAAGACTTCTCCGGACCCACGTTGGATGATCACTTTGACAAGACTGTTTTACCAAAGGTTTGTGCCATAAACACATATACATTTTTATTTACTTTTTTATAAGTTGTACGGCTTTTATTTTTTTTGTGAGACATTAAATATTATTTACTTGTAAAATTCTTCTTTACTAAAATAATAAAGCGTAAACACACTTTGTTGCCTAAGATGTCAGGAATTACCGCATATTTTTGAATAATTCTTTTTTTAATAAAAATCCCTACACCTACGTCACGCTTTAGGCTTTATATTTTCACGTCATTAAAGTTAGAGGGTAAAGATTTTGATAAAAACCCTAATGTGGGAAAGAGACCATAAGTTGCTGCCAACATCAAGAAAGTAAGATTGCCAAGGTTTGTCGTGTCATGTCATTTTGACATTTGCTATTGATAATTTGACAAATGTAAAACAATACAATAAAATTTTCATAATTTCAGCCGCACGGAAACAGCTAGTTTATTAATAAAAACATATTCACAGAAATTGATAAAATTGCATTTGTTAAAAATACAATGTTGTTACATCGCTCTCGTCACATGTTTCTCTGCTACATTCAAATATTGTTCTTTTTTATAAATACATTTTTTGTTGTTTTCTTGGCGGCCAGCATTATATTAATTATTACTTAACTAAACTACACAGACAAAATAAAGGCAGTGTATTTCTAAATTAACATTTCTTGTTATGTGCGGTTTATTTATTTATGAATAATTAATGACTTAGCGCCTGTCCTACAATTCTTGTAAAGTCATAATAACAATCCAATGTATAAAATATGTGATGAAAATGTTTGGTACTCTATCTGACAGTGACGTCACTTTTAACCTATCTGAGCCTCTATCAGCCAGTGACAGGTCCGTAATGTCGGTTTTTTGTCTTGTAATCTGTGTTTTTCGTGCTACATTTATCCGTTACGATGAAGGAAAACATCATGATGTTTGGACATATTTTAGAGAAAATTCAAAATTATGTGAATTCAACCCGTATTTCGTAACAGGGTAGGCTGAATCTCTTAGTAGAGATATCTGATGAAAACTTTTTTTTCTCAGGTAATGCAAGTGAAGAAATTCGGTAGATCAGGACGTACAAAGTACACGCACTTAGTGGACCAGGATACGACGGAGTTTGACTCCGCGTGGAGCAATGAGGGCGCGGCGGCCAGGCTCGCCACCTTCCGCGGCGCTAAGCAACTCTTCCACAGGCCCTCGGCTAGGAGGACTCACACCTAGCAGACACTCGACAATACACTAAAACAACCAAAAGGATGTAATTAAAAAAAAAAAACAAAAAACCCGACTATGTGTTTTTATTGAGATTTTAAAAGCCAAAATACATTTTATGTTATCAGTAAAAGACTAAATATATCTTCTGACTAATATAAATGCGAAAGTTGAGATGTATGGATGTTTGTACACATACATAAAAACAAACTTAGCACGCGAAATACTTTACCTTCTGTCTGTCGGGTAACAAAGACTAAAAAACTTTGAACGTATAATGTATAGAACAAGAGAAGTGTAAAAGTGTATCTTGTAGAAGTTGAATGTTTAAACTGTCATAGGCTAATTTTATCCTCACGGACAAAGACGTGGGCTACAGTTAGTATTACAACTAAAAACGGATTCCATTGTATCTAGCCCTGATTTTTCATATGCGTGTTATGTCTATATTAGTGGTCGTATGTATTTTAAATGTACAGTTACGTAAATAAATGAATTTTCTTCTTACGGATTGTTTAATTTCTACGCCCATGCCTACACCTAACTCAACGTGTCTACGGCTACGCTTGTCTACGCCAATACCTATGTCTACGGGTACAGCTACGACTGTTATGTTGACGTCATGATACGTTACCTCATTGTATGTTACAATTAAGCTTTCGTAGAAATGGTTAGTCTCGCTTTCATTCCTTAGGCTTATATGGAGGTGCGCACACTACTCGATTCTTAGTTGTGGAACTAGTCAGTAGAATTGACTGTGAAACAATCGCATAATAGTTCTACAATAGTTTAGTTAAAGGTTTTACTTTACCGTAACAACTTCAGGTAAATTATGTACATATGAAATTCAAAAATCGAAAATCAATTGCGGGATTCGAATCTAATATCTGTGGATTACAAGTCAAGTGCTTAAACCCCTGAGCCACCGACGCTCTTCACTTAGAAGATCACATTTTTTTTGTCTCATCCACTCGGGAACGATTTTTTTTTAATTCAAGCCGTCAAAGTCGCGAGCGACAATTATTAGATGTAATTAAAAAAAACAATCTTTTGATATGTTATTAATAAGTAAATATGTGAAGGTTTACCATAATTATAATTTTATCCCGCCAGTAAACATTCACGTAGAGACCCGCTCTACTGAAGCGTAAAGATTCCTAACGGCAGAAGTTTTTAAATCCCTCTAAGAACGAAAAAGTTTGATTTAAATCCTCATTAAACTGCAATCCTTGTAAATCCAATAGAAAATGGCGCAATCCTCTGAATACTAGTTATCTCATTTACATAACAAATTTGAAAAATAACTTTGCTATAAAGAATAAATATCTTCTACACTTCAGTTTAAAATATTCTTGTTATATTCCGTTGAAATAAAAAAATATACGGTCCTAACATTTGGAAGACAAAGTCAGAAGATAAAACGTCTGCCGCGCGCAGCGTTAATAGGTAACTAAGGGATTCCCTTAGTGTAGATATGAGAGATCTAGGCTAGTACTCAGTAACCAAGAGATCGGGTTAAGTTCTAGGACTAAAGTGAACTCACCTATTTTCACTTACAAAAAGTTAACCATACTAATATAAATGCGAAAGTCTAGATGGTTGGATGTTCGTTACAGTTTGTTGCTTCCGGCTGAACGGATTTCGATGAAATTTGTTATATGTAGGTAGGATAGCCTTGAAAAACACATATGCTACTCACTTTTGTTTTTTTTTTTTTAATTCCGGACAGGGGCGCAGGCCAAAGCTAGTATAAAAATAATGAATATAACAAAGTAACTAGTTAAAGTCTGAAACAACTGAAATTAGAAACAATATTGTGAACTTTAAATCCCTTACTGGTCGTAACGGGTTTTGTATTATACTGCAAGGTAGCTACGACGCGACGCGTTTTACTTTACTGTACCTCTTAACTTCATATAATGTTTATAATACAACAAAGATAGCATAGTCTTCTAAAACTGAAAACAACCACTGTTTTTAAAGGACATTTTGCCAATATGAATCAAGTTAAAAGGCTACTAAATGTGTTGTTAGTTATAAAAAAATTATAAATCGCTTTAAGAATGGGAAATCACAAATGTTATTTTGGTTAAAACAATTATTATTCTCTTTATTAATAATGTTTAACATCAACCAGAGTGTTAATTTTCAACCGCAATGGCCAGTAATTAATAGAAGTTTGTTTTTCGTGTTAATTACAAAATGTTTGCACTTCGGCCGATAGTTGCTTCATTACGAAACCTTAAATAGCAATATTGGGATAAAACGAATGCGCTTTTATAACCCGGTTTATTTTTAATTAATTCTTAATTGGAGGTTAGTAGCATATTTATTTTATATAAAATATACTCTTTGTACAGATTAAAAAAATGATTCTGTATTTTTTTTCTACAAAAACTAAATGTGTTAAGTTCACAGCCAGTATTTCTTAAAGGTAGTCAATTTTTTTTGGTATTTATTTAAATTATTGGCATACATGTTTACTTAAACTAAAATTAATGTTAAACGTATTTAAAACTATGCAGTATTCAGTCGTCTGTTTGTTCAGCGAGTGGGTAATGCAGCGGTGTTCCGTCGCCGAGTCTATTCGCCAGTCCATTGATCATCTGCGGTGTAGCTTCGCGCAGGTCGTACGCCCAGCCGAGCCATTTGAAGCCATTTATAAAAGTGGTGCAAAAGTTGAATGCATCAAAGTGCTCCGCGGCTTTGTAGTCGAATGGAAATGCGTGGTGATAGTTATGCCAGCCCTCGCCGAGTGTACACGTCGCCACGAAACGGTTTTCCCTCGGTATTATATTCCTGAAATTAAGCTTTATACGTTTACATAATAATTATTAAATTGTGATCATAATTTGAATAAGATGTATTGCTTTGATTACTTTAAGTTGAAAAATGTACCTATCTCATTATTACAACACTAACTGTTGCTTGCGACTTCATCCGCGTGAAATTAAAAAAATGATGAAAAATATAGGCTTTGTTACTCACATATTAATTACCTTTCTAACGGTGACTGTATTTTTTAAATCGGCCCAGTAGTTTTTGAGTTATTTCAATACATACAAAAATACAAATCTTTCCTCTTTATAATATTAGTATAGCTTAGAAACTCGAAGTCATATTTAAGTGTGTCCTATTTAAGATTTGTTGCTGACAAATGTTATGTATTTACTAATATTCAATATCTATTATTTATAAGCAGACTATGCTATTTGTCGAAGCAAACCTGTGTTATTAATATAGTATTAGGTAGGAATTTAATTTTAGACGCTCAGCCGCAACCTGGAATGCAATATGCTAAAATTGTTTAGCTTGAGTAACAATGATTTTACATTTATGATTATATTGTCGTAGTATAATACAAATACATCACACTAATATAAGTGCCCTTGTAACTTATGCTTTTACAGTTTACAAATGAGCCAAGTGACCTTAGTTGCCTAAAACTCAAGAATGTTTTAGACTTTTTGCAACCTTCATTCGTCAACGCTCGGCTTTAAGCCGTTTCAATAAAAAAAACGTAAGACCTAAATTAAATTGTAAAGAATTTTCTGGAAATTTTGAAACTAATTTTGGACATTCGATAAAAATGACAGAAGAAAAAAAACAGATATTACAAATAAAGAAGATAGTTGATATCAAGAAGTCGAAAAAAAAAAAGATTTTGTTCCAAACTTTTATGGCAATAAAGATGTAGTTTTACTTACTTATTATACGGCCTGTATCCGTATGCATGAGCTAGGCTATTAACAGTCAGCTCGCTATGGAACATGCCGAGAAATCGTATGAAGCATTGCCATGCAACCGCGCAGCGCCACTGTTCTCCCCACAGCCAAATCCCCAACGTCGTCGGCAAGATGTAGCAGAACATCAGCTTAAAGTAATTAAAGTATCTGTAAGTAA